TCTCTCTCTCTCTCTCTCTCTCTCTCTCTCTCTCTCTCTCTCACACACACACACACACACACACACACACACACACACACACACACAGGCCTCTTTCGTGTTCTCACTTTTCATTGCCAATTTCTTTGCTCTGTCATGTTTGCTCACCTGGGCAGATGCCAGTAAACACCCAAGGTGATCCCCCAGAGCAAAAGCAGGATGCCAGTGGAGCCAGGAGACCTTCCCTGGAGAGTGCCTTCTTGGGATTCCTGGAGGAGAACTGTCTCCTGGAATAAAAGTGGGGAGGCTGTCTGCCACAGGAATAACTGTGAAGGAGGACTCAGCAAAGAAATCTGAGAAAGACCACATCCAAGTCTCTGTCTTCAGGTGCTCTAAAATCATACACCTTTTCCTGTATTGTCTCCATTTTCTATGATGCTTCCATGTTACAAATATACAAAAACAAAAACGAATTTTACAAATATGACCCAAAACCCCACCAAAGAGAAATAATCACTGCTAGACAACTGGTGTATGTTGTTTCACTCTATTTACTAAACATATACACACTTGCATTACATTCGCAGGCAAATACACACGCACATGTTTTCAACTGCGATCATGCCATAAATAATTTTGTTGTCAGCATTTGCCACTTAATATTATGTTATGCACCTTTCCCCATAAACTGGAAACATAGTAAAGTATAGTTTTGCATCTAGCATCTTTTATTTACCAGTGTGTTGTAGCCATTTCCCCACTGGTTAGTTTTCAAACCATAATTTAAATGGGGACATCACTGAAATGTTAAACTGTTTCCCTATCGTTGATTACACAGGTTAGTAGCAGATTTTGTTCTCTTGAAGGATGCTGCTGTGAGAACCCATCGCTGTAAGTCTTCCCTCAGATAAGAGTGTGGCTTTAGGTTGGATTCTCAGCAGTAGCTTGCCAGAGGAGAGCTTTCTGCTAAATGGTCTTCTCCAAAGAGTTCACTGATTTCCATTCCCACCAGCATGGCATGGCAGTGATACTTCACCCAGGCTCTTTAGCACTGAATATTATTTTCCTTTTTGTTTGTTTGTTTGTGTTGGCCAGTATGATAAGTGAAGATTTGGTATTCCTTTTTCATTTACTTTGCTGCAGACTTTCAGGAGTTCACAGTACTCGGCGACAGCCCCCCTGCTATCCTCGGTGTGTTTCACCACTGACTGGCTCCTCTCCCAGTGGCTGGATGAACGCCAGGTGTGCTGGACGCTCTCAGGCAGTGCCTAGCGTTTGCGAGCATCCTGGAACCTGCTGGGTCCCGTCCAGCGTCTGCACATCTTAATGCCCCTTCGAGGGCTCTTGATTCCATTTTGTGCTCTCCAGCTAAGTCACTGCTGTCTCCTTGGCTCAAGCCCCCTCTGTCCTTCACCTGGACCTTTGCAATACTTCCTTACCCAGGTGCCCACATCCGTCCTGGCTCTCAGAGCAGCTTTCTCCTTCCAGCTTCCCAATCGTCTGTCTAAAACACAAATCTGATTGCATTTATGACCTGCTGCAGCTGGTAATATTTCCCATTGCCTTAGGGATAAGATGAATCTTCATGTGGCCTCATGGTCCTGCACAATCAGGTGCCCCTTCCCTTCTCACTCCACCCTCCCCCAAACCCAGCCACCATGCCACCCCTCCTCCCCCACCATGCCCCTCCCCTCCCCACCATGCCCCTCTTAACCAGTTAAGATGAGGTCATCCCAGAGCAGGGAGGGCCTAATCCAATATGACTGATGCCCTTATGAGAAGAGGAAACAGACCCTTAGAGGGAAGTCGGCCATGTGGAAATAGGGCAGAGATTGGAGTGATGTTCCTACCACCCCAGGAATGCCGAGGACTCCCCACAGCTACTAGAAGCTGGGAGGGGCCCTCAGAGCCTCCAGAAGGAGCCAATTCTGCCAATACCTTAAGTCTGGACTTCTGGCCACCTGAACTGTGAGAGAACACATTTCTCTTGTTTCCAGCCACCCAGTTGGTGGTTATTTGTTACGGTAGCCATAAGACTCTCACAGTGTCGTCCCTTAAAAGGCCACATACGCATATCTGGGGGCAAGAAGGCCATGACTGTGCTGGGGTCCTGAAGGTGCCATGCTGGGAGGGGGTGGCCACCAGAACTGGGGCAGGAGGGCCCCTCTCTGGAGCTCCTACAAGAAGAAAGAAACAAAAACCCAGCCGGTCAAGAGTAGAAGGTTGCCCGGGTCACTGGGGCCCCAGGGCCACTTCCTTCCAGAATGCCAGGGTCTGTCCACTGTCTCCAGGACGTTGGGACCCCAGCCTGTGAGACCAGGTCTGCTTGTTCCCTCTTGAACACTGGAGCTGGCCTGGGTCAGGCTGCAGGCCGGGGGAGAAGGACAAAGCTCGTCACCTCCAGAGCCCCCCCCCCAGAGCGGGGACAGGCGGGCACCTTTCTGTCTTCAGGCATTTATATTCACAGGCATTTAAAGGGCCCATTGCAGAAATACACATTTAACTGCCACACTCAGTGTGCTTTATTGCCCATGGAGGCCCTTTGTAATATCCTCTGGAAATTCATATTAAAGGAGATTTCAAACCCCAATGACTGACTCGCAGCCCTTATGGTCCCTGTCTGCGAGCAGGCTTTATTTAATAACAAAGTGTCTTATTTAAAGTCGGGCCTGTGGATGAGATAGCCCAGGGAGGTGCTAGCATTTGGGGAAGGCAATATTACATGTATTATTGGCCGAAATAAACGCTGTGCCTCTGTCGGGCCAATTTCCCTTTTATGTTCTGGGTGCTTAAAAACCCTTAGAAGACTCTCGTATATTTTCTAGCAAAAGCATGTCGCAGATTTCTTCCTCTTTTGAAAACCTGGAAGTCTATGTAAATCATGTCCTGAAGCAGCCCCTCAAGCTTAAAACGGAAATAATGCACATTTAGGTAGAAAGACGTGTTCTCTTAACTTAGTGCAAGACTGTACTAAGGAGATGGGGGTGAGCAGGCAGACCGTGCCCAGTGGGAATTGGAGGATTGCCTGGATGTGGGAAAACTCCCGCACATCCAGTGTCAGAAGTATCGAGAGGCGGGGGAGAAAAGCAGTTTCCTCTTACAATATGGAAGGAAGAATAGTGGGGAAGCGAAAAAGAGTTTCTAAACTGTTCCTATGACCCTGCCGTGAAACCCTGGTGCTATGGACAGATCCGTATCTCTCCAAATTCATACGATGAAGCCCTAACCCCTAGTGTGAACTTGGAGATGGGACCTCTGAGGAAGGAATTAAGGTAAACTGAAGTCATAAGAGTGGGGCCCTAACCCAGTAGGATCAGTGTCCTTATAAGAAGAGACACCAGAGGGCTCTCCCCCCACCCACCTCTGCCCCCTCCCCTCACCATGTGAGGACACAGTGAGAAAGCAGCCCTCTACAAGCCAGAAAGAAAGTTCTCACCGGGAAGGGAATCTACCAGCACCTTGATCTTGGACTTCCAGCCTCCAGACCCATGAGAAATAAACGTCTGTTTTTTAAGCTGCTGGTCTGCGGCATTTTGTTATGGCAACGCGAGCAGACTGAGACACCAGGTCAGGCCCACAGCTCCCCTTCCTGGTGTCCACTTACGGAACCCTGGCTTTAATCTTGACCCACATGGTACACATGGCTATCCTTGGATCCTGCAGCAAACAGAGGCCCCCAGTAGACAAAGATGGCGGGAAGGGATTTCATGATTCAGGCCTAGCTTAGCATATCCTGGAACCTCTGTTTCTCCTTTCATCTCTATACATTTTCTCCCCTGTTTGATTTAATACAAGAGAAGGCTGACATCCAGTAAATGCCCTTTCATCCCTCTAAGAGGAGTTTATTTAAGCCCAGAGAGTCAAAAAGTCAACAAGGAAGGAAGCAGAACCAAAAGGGCATGAGGGCTGCCGGACTCTTTCTACATTTCATGTAATTATGCAGGAAAGCAATGCCCTGGGCTTAGGCCTCAGTAGGTCCTGAATAGTTAATAAAGCCTGTGATTCACCCTCCTTTGGCTACAGTTTAAAAATGCAGAATATGTTCAATGACAGTGACCCCCTTGACCTACTCACCAGGAAAAAATGAAAACAAGGTAAATGTAATAGAAACTCCTGCTAAGGCACAGGTTTTCCTTGTTCTGAGCCCAGATCTTTGAGCTCTTGTGTGCTCAGCACTCTTTGATGAGAGTCTTACAGATGATGGGGGTCTGGGATCCATCTGGACCCTGTAGCATCTCACCCATTGGGACCGAGCCCATGGGGCAGGTGTGGTTTAGTGCTTTACCTGCAGGGAAGACAATGGTTAACATCAGTAATGCCATCTTAATACCAAGGCCAGGACACAGGATTGCCTGAGCACAGGACTCTAGGACATAATAAAAAGTATATTTCATGTTTGTCCTTGGTTCCTGACAAGCACTTCAGATACCTTTGGACTCTCCTAAGTAATAGGAGTTTTTGTTATGCTAATGAGGTGATGCAGGTGTGCCCCTGGATAGTTTCAGGGTAGGGACTGGTCACCAGAAAGACCAACTAAGTGAGTAAAGGATTGGGGCTTTGAATCAGCTAGACTTCCAGGAGGAAAAAGTGTCTGGGGATCAGGTTTAATCACGCAGACGATGATTTAATCAATCTCATCTATGTAATGAAACTTCAGTCAAACCTATGGACACCCAGACTCTGTGAAGCTTCCTAGTTGATGAACACATTGATGCACCAGTTGGGGGACACACCTGGACTCCCTGGGGAGAGTGTCCAGAAGCTCTGAGCTCCATCCCCAGACCTTGCCCTCTGGGCTGCTTTATTATGCTTATTCCTCTGTGTATCCTTTATGATACAACTGCAGCACAGTGCTTTCTTGAGTTCTGCCACTAGTGAATTATTAAGCCTCCTCTGAGGAGGGTTCTCAGAAGCCCGTGAACTCATAGCCAGTCGGTCAGAGGAGCAGGTGGACTGCGGACCCTCCTGGAAGCTGCATTTGAAGTGGGGAAACCCAGCCCTTCATCCGTGGGGTCTGATGCTAAGTTGGGTGGTTGGAGTGGGAACTATATTACAGTCCACCCAGTAGGGGTGGGAAGAGTACAGACTCAGAGAACAAAGGGAGAAAGATAGCTCTGTGGGCATAAAACACAGAAGGGCTTGACTTCTCTGAGGGGCTACTGCCCTTTCCATTCAGGGGTCTTCGGTCTGCAGAGAGGATGGCGTTGCCTCTCTGCCATTTAGGAAATCATCGGCCATCGCGTTTCTCCCTTGTCTGAGCCGTGCTGTTAAAGGGCAGGAAAGTCTTCAAACCACTGTCACAAAGACAGTCCTGGAAAACCACTTCTGCCGCTGAAGGCAGCTGGCGGGGAGAAGAAAGACGGTCTGCGTGTCCACCAGCCAGTGGTCCTCACGGAGCTGGCCTTGGGGGCTGAGAGCCTGGATGACACTTGTTCCTGGGAATTTGGGAGTGCAGACAATAAGTGCTTGCCTGAGGATTTCTTGTTGAATTTTAAAGAACACAATCCACACACACACACACACACACACACACACACACACAGCACAAGGGCAGGTCGCTGCTTCAAGCTGGGCTCACCCCTCGGTGAAGCCCAAGAGGGGAATGGGAGGGGGTCTTATTCCTGACAGCCACTTACTGACACACAGGATAGTGGTTAAGCCTGTGACGTTGGAACCAGGCAGCTTTGAATCCAAGCTCTGCTCTTTCATTGCCAGTGAACTTGGGCTCGCCTCCAAACCTCAGGTGCCGCCATGTCTATATCACTATAATGAAGTCAGTAACGATATCTCCTAGTAAGTAGTGCTGTTTCCAAGACTGGATAAGATGACACAAGAAACTTCCTAGAACTGGCCTGACATATAGTAAGTGCCCACTAAATGAGTTACTTGCTTTGTTTTTGTATTTAAATTGGGAAACCCAGATGGCCGCACAGCTCTGCAACCTCAGCTTTCAGCTCCAGAACTTGTAACCGAAATATCGAACACGCCGGGAGAGAGCAGAGAGCCCTGGGAAATGGGCCGCCAGCTGCCGGCAGGAGACACTGAGAGCATCCATCAATTTTATTCCCTCTCCAAATTCTTGCACAAACACTCCCCATTACGCACCTGCCATTCAAGCTGCAAGGCGATATTTACAGGTCCAATAAAAGCCGACAGAAGTGGAGGCCATGGCCACAGGTACCGACTTAACCAGCTTCCTAGCAGTTCCCCACTCCCCCTCTGGTTATCGGCCTCGAAGCCCAGGCAGCTTTCTCACTTGACATTTTCCCTCTGGGCACAGACAGCTTCTATGGACAAGCAGCCACTGAGGATTCCTGAAACATGGCCCAGGGTGCCCAGTTCATGAATTCCTTCATTGTCACCAGGGAGGGAACATCTAACTCTTTTCTACACCAATAAATTCTGTGTCTGATTTATCTTCCATCAGGCCAACCTTAATACAAAAACCCTCCATGAATCATAAATCCGTCATCCATCAAGAAAAAGCAGTACCAGGAAATCAAAAAGTCCTCATTAGCAAAGATGGAATGAGTCCTCACGCCCTCCACTTGGTCAAACAGACCATCTACAGTCAGATCATTGTCCTAAGGGGCACGAAGCGGTCTTGGGTCAGCCTCCTGAATCTAAATTGGCTAGCAATGGGCTTGTGATAACCGGGGCACCTGGGGTGGCTCAGAAGCTCAACTATCAACACAGGAAGATGGGTAAGGAGGCGCCTGAGACCTGGCGGGCTAGAGAGAGCCTGGATACACAGCATGGGAGCTTGACAGGCTCTCCACGTGGGTCCTGCAACCTCACAGCTCAAAGAGCGTGGCCCCCTTGCTGTGCTGGGTACCTGTGTTAGAGAAGGCCTGGTCCAGGGGGCACCCCAGTGGGATTTGCACTCCCCTGGGAGTGGACCAGAGAAATCCCAGCAAAACACTTCCCTGGGGACCTGGAAGAAAGATGCCAGCTGTGGTCCAGGCAAGAGGTCCCATCTTTGCGAATTTCCCCCAGAAGTCATGGACCACTTCTTGGAAGCAGTTTCCATGACAACAAATCTTCACATTGGTCTTGTGGAATTAGACCAAGACATCCAGGCTGATTGTGGGGAAGGATGAGTGAGGAGTCCCTGGCTTACCTGTGAGACTCATAGTGAACTCAAAATGCAGATTCCAAGTGGAGAGTGCCAGCCCAGTTTTCAGGCCTGGTGGGATTGTCTGCCAGACCTAGGACCCTTTGAAGAGTAGCCCCTGCATGTTGGGCAAATTCAGTCCTGTTCATTTAAAAAGTGAGTTTTGTTCTTGTCTTGGAGTCTCCCTGCTTCCAATACCAGCTCACAAAGGTTTGGGAAGTCCAGTTTTCTCTTTCATATTTCAAAATGCATAATTGTTTATCATGAAATCTCAGCAGCTCCATTTACACTAATAAAAGGAAGTCAGTCACACCTGATACTAGAATCCTGAAGAAGTTATTATTTGTGGTTACAGGTATATGCACACCTGAGGGATCACGGCCCCTGTGAGGGTTTTGTGATCTACCTTTCAAAAATGTAATATAAAATGTTTAAGGTGTACGGTATGAGGCTTTGATACATGTATATACTGTGAAATGTTTACCACATAAGGTTAGCTAGCACCTCCGGCCCCTCACATAATGACCCTTTTATTTTTATTGTTTGGAATGAGAACATTTAAGATCTTCTCTTTCAGCAACTTTCAAGTATATAATACTTGAAAGTATTATTAACTATAATCACTATGCTGCACCTCAGATCCCGAGAACATTTTCATCTTATAACTGGAAATTTGTACCTTTTAACCAACATCTCCTCAATTTCCCCACCCCCTCAGCCCCTGGTAACTACCACTCTACTCTCTGTTTCTATGAATTCAGCTCTTTTATTCCATGTATAAGTGATATACAGTATTTCTCTTTCTCTGTCTGACTTATTTCACTTAGCATAATGCCCTCCAAGTCCATGCATGTTGCTGCAGATGGCAGAATTTCCTTCTTTTTATGGCTGAATATTTTCTACCATATATAGAGACCACATTTTCCTTATCCATTCATCCCTTGATAGACACTTAGGTTGTTCCTTTATCTTGGCTATTGTGAATAGTGCTGTAGTGAACTTGGGGGTGCATGTATCTCTTTGAGATAGTGACTTTGGTTCCTTCATATAAATACCCAGAAGTGGGATTGCTGGACCAAATGTCTATTCTTTTTACGTGGATTCTTACCCCGGGGGTGCCACCCTGAATGCCCATGGTGATGAGCACAGTTTTTGGTGGGGAGGATCTCCATCTTTCACTGGACTATAAAAGGACCTTGTTGTTGAGATTTTTGGTGAATGTAGCTGACGGAAGTGATGTGTGAAGCACTTGTTCACAGGTTAAAAATAATAAAGATGAGCAACAGGCGTTTACTGTGTAGCACAGGGAATTATATCCAATATCTTTTAATAACCTATAATGGACTATAACCTGCAAAAATACTGAATCACTGTGCTGTACACCTGAAACTAATGCAATGTTGTAAATCAACTATACTTCAATAAAAAACTAAATTAAAAATTAATAATAATAACAAAGAAATAGCTGAATACCACCCAAGGCCCAAGGCGGAAAGGAACATCACAGGTGAGAAATGAGGAAGGAAGTCCAAGGGAACGAGGAGAGAGGGTGAGAGGGTTCCTCTCAGGGGCGTTGAGACCAGGGCCTCAGGGCCGAGCATTTGACATCCTCAGGGAGCAGCGAAGTCTTTGTGCTCTGGGGACATGAGAGGGGCTCCCGAGTTTGCCCTGGAGCTGGGCAGCCTGCCACCCCTGGGGAGGATGAGGAAGGTGCTGGGCCTGTACAGTAGCTGGAAAAGTATCACCAACAAACACTGAGACCCCCAGACTGTGGTCACACATGGCGTGGTGTTCACATGAACACTTGGCTCTGTTGCAGGAAAATTAATAAAACTTTCTGTCTGAGCATGCAAAGGGTTTATTTGTGTCACACAAGCAGCAGTAGGGCAGGGGTGGCCATGGCAGGTCATCGAGAGCCTGGCAGGATAAGGGACCTGCTCACAGACATCCCCTCGCCCACCCCTGCTGTCCAGGTCTGGGTGGCCCAACCAGCACCAGCTGATGACAGCCTGGGAATGAGCATTTTTGCCTGGGCTGATTACCAGTCAATCCCAACCAGGCTTCTGCTGGTAAAGAGGACAGAGGGAGATCCCAGCAGCCCCACGAGACCCCAAGGGAAACATCTTTGGGAAGAGGAGTGCCCAGTTCAAGACCAGAGCCCGTGGGACCAACAACCACCAAATCGGCACCTCAGGAAGTGGAGGTGACTAAAAGGGGAAAGAGATTCTAGAACAATTTATAATTTCTGGAGGATATAAGAAGTGGGGAGGACCCAAGAAAGTATGCAAAAATAACAACAGGCTGATTAGCCACAGACTAGATGTTACTTCTGGAAAGAGACACTAGAAGACAGAGTGACACAGCTGAGAGAGTTAATGAGCAAGGAAGTTAGAGATGGCAGCTCAGACACAGAGTAACAGAACCTGCTAAGAAATGGGGAAGACAGGATGAGAGACTCCTGCATTTATCTAAAAATATATGAAGGAGAGAAAGCGTTTGAAGAAAAAATGGCTGCCAGTTTTTCAAAAGTGAAGGAAAACGTGAGAACTCAGATTTTGAAAATACAAAAATTCCCAAGCAAAATAGATAAGACAAATCCACACATGCACACTTTAGAGTAAATCTATGGAACCTCATTGATCAAGAGAAAATTGTAAAATCCTCAGATCTTTGTAGATAAAGGGAAAATCTTAAACTTTACCAGAGGAAAGAAGAAAAAAAAACAAAAACGCAAAAGAACAGTAATAATATTGGAAAGAAGACATCTCACTAGCAGCATAAATGATGGAATGCAATGTTTTAAAACACTGAAGGAAGCAACTCACCTAAATATTTTACATCCATTTATCTGCCCTTCAGACAATCTCAGACATAGATTGAAAGAATTTACTGTTCATTGTTTGCTACTGAGCAACCTTTTTTGAAAGAAGTGTTAAAGGATATACTTCAACGAGTAGGAAACTAAACCCAAAAGGAAGAAGTAAGAAAGCAAGAAAATCTATGTAAATAGAGTTGTGAACACATTGGTAGCTCTAAATAAACAATGATATCTAAAGAAAAACTTGGAGGATTTAAAAACAAGATGAAACTGAAATACTAGCCAACACAAACATGAAATGGGATGTGGAGAAAGTTTGGCATTGAAGTCGTCTAACTCTTGGTGACATATAGAAATGTTGTTTAATGGTATTAGGCTTTGTTAACAGGCATGTTAGCATTTAAAATTAGTAACCACTAAAAAATGAGAATAAAAAGCAGTAGAAAGTGTATGTACAAAACCAATAGAGATGGGAGAAAAGAGAATTAAAGGAAACTATATCTACACGATAGGAGATTTGAAAGGAAAAGATGAAAGAAAATTACTGTTTTAAATAATTTCAGTGGTATACAGTCATCCTTAAAATGTGTTAAACAGGTTTTTATTGTTTTGTTTTTTTAATATATCCCCTATTTTTAACAATTTGTCCCAAATTCCTGGCCCACTCCTATCCCTTAAAATGATTCTAAAGTGGGAGGGAGTAAGCAGCGGTTATTTTGTTGTCTAAAGCAACCAAATGTCAGCCTTCATGAATCCCCGTCCCCTGCCATGCCAGGGGGCCACCCTGACCCACCCAGCTGCCCTGATTTCAACATCACCCCCTGTGGCTTGGCTCTTTGGTCTGTGTATTGACTCAGCCTCAGGTTTTATTAATGACTACAAGAATGCTTCGTTTCAATAAATGTCTCCTAAGTGCCAGCCGTGTTCACATGGCAACAGTTTTTTAATGGCTAACTGACCAGTGGAAATATTTTCCCATCTTAAGGATGAGAAAACTGAGGTTCGCAAAGGATTTGCAAGGCTGGTAAGTAGTCATGCAGCCTGATTCCTCCCAGCTTTTGGACTCCAGTTCTGTTTCTCTCTTTTCATTACACTCCAGCTAATATCTCAAATGAAATCCCTGTGGGTTGCCCTCGGCAGAAGGACAAGGGCATCTGATGGTGAAGCTGAATCTGGCCTCTGTACTCTGACACCGAATTAAATCTCTGAGACAGAGTTTTGGGTGAAGTAGAAAAGAATAGCTTTATTTGCTTTGCCAGGCAAAGGGGGCCACAGTGGGTTAATGCCCTCAGAACTGTGTGACCTGACCTGGAGGAGGTAGTGAGGAGTTTTCTAGTCATGGTTCAAAGAGGGCGAGATCAGCTCGTGGACATTCTTCTGATTAGTTGGTGATGAGGTAAGTGGGAGTCAACATCATCAAGCTGCTGGTTCCAACCAGTCTGGGGTTTACCTGCTGTGGGCAGCATGTAGTTAACTTCTTCCACCTGGTGTGGGTTCCAGTATCTACAAAACAGCTCAAAGGTATTGTTACATGTAACCCTTCAGGGGGAACCAGGACCCTGTCCCAAGGCTGCACTATTGTTTCTTGACTGCCCCTCCCTTGTCTCTGCATCCCCTCCCTTTCCTGATTAGCTCCTGTATGAACTGCCCCTTGGAACGAAGGTCATGGAGGCTGAACGAAGCCTATTTCCTGCAATCAAGAAATGGGGGACACAGAAAGGCTTTTGTGCCCAGGAGCCCCGCAGTATCCTGCTCAGTTCCACTGGGATACCAGGCAATGATGGAGAAGCGTGGCTTGCTTTTCCTGGAGCAGAAGCAGGAGTGGTGTTGCACGGTTTCTCCTGGAATTCCACACATGGTCCTTCCCAGTCACTTGGGAGATGTCTGGCAGAAACAGGCAAAGTCTGCCCAGAAAACTCTCCTGGATGCCAGCAGACACAGGAGGGAACGTCTTGAAGTAAGAGCTGCATGATCCTAGCATGTCTGCATGAAATATGAGCCCAAGGAGGGGGGCAGGGGAAGGGGCAGAGAGTGAAGTTTGGGCCTGTAGTCTCAGAGCCCGGCATCCATGGACATGGGAGCCCTGCAGAGGCAAGTCCTGTGGAAACAGTTGCTATTGTCGGCTGCTATGAAGACGTGGATTCCTGGCTTGGGAATATCCACCAATATCCACAGGTCTGCAGGAATGACCTGTCAGAGGGGGAACAGATTGTGGCCGGCTGTGGCTGACAAGGTCCCTGGGGTCCTTGCCTTGTCTTTCCCTCCCTCCCCCCACATCCCCAGAACATTTTCTGCAGTCCCTCCTCCCTGGGACAGGCTGTCCCTTTGCTCTGGAGGTGCAAGTTCCCTCTGGCAGGCATCTGCTGGACATCGGGGAGACTTGGACCCCAGGAGCCCCTTCTGAGCTGGCTTCCTGGTCAGCCTGCCTACTCTCTCCAGGCAAGTCTGCACACTCACCTCATTCTTTAAGCCCCAGCCAAGCCCTGGAGAAGGGCTTAAGGAACATGGTGAAACAAAACTGGCAATGCCCCTGCCCTCTTGGAGCTCACACACACGGGGATAGAGACCATGAAAAGCTGGTACCAAATGAAGGAGTTGTGTGGCAGGTCAGGGGTGATGGCCACATTGAGGCAGGGGGGAGTAGAAGGAGAAGGTAGGATGCCCGAGCAATGATGCTTTATCTATGTATTAAGTAGTTGTTAAGGATGGAATTGTGTTTCCCCCAAGCCCATATATAAAAGACCTAACCCTCAATGTGACTGTATTTGGAGTCGTAATCCAACAGGACTGGCGTCCTTATCAGAAGAG